ATTGCAAGTTTGTGATCCTGGCTAATTTCCATGCGTTACGAGGTATGAGCGGGTCGCTTACAAGTACAACGGCACCAACTTTTGGTTCTAATTTGTTATGTCGTTGCTTCGATATAAATTTTCTATGTGTTTCGCGTAGGCTAGTTAGATAGTGCTCTTGCCATATGTTCCAAAACCGATCAGTGATCTCACAAGATGATCGTAATGCATCTTCTGCATCCTTTCTCGTTCGAAGCGTCGGTGCTTTTTCTGGGAGGTGTGTAGTCCGAATCGTTCACTAAAGTTTGGTCTGTGCTATCGTATGGAAATGACAAATTCAAGTCACGTTGGATGAAGTCGACGGGGCGTATGGAGCTGAAGTCTTGTTCTGAACTTTGGTATGTTAATGGTCTTGAATTGAGACATGCCTCGATTTCGCATAGTGTTGTTGTTAAGTCGTCACTGGATTTAGTTGGTCTCGCTCTCATCGCTTTGTACAATGCGTGCTTTATGGATTTTATGAGTCGTTCGTAGAACCCGCCCTGCCATGGTGCATAAGGGGTTATTTGGTACCACTGAATCTCCTTTTCCGATATTAAATCAAGGATTTCTCTGTGCATATGTTTCTCATGCATTTTCGCGTTCAAAATTTCAGCGCAAAGTAAAAATGAAGGTGCGTTGTCACTTGTTATTGAGCTAGGTACTCCTCTGCGTGCTATGAAACGTCTTAAAGCGTGCAAAAATTCTCCCACTGTTGCGTTTTTTACTAACTCCAAATGAATCAGTCTGGTTACGGTGCATGTGAAAATGCACCCATATGGCTTCAATCGCTCTTCACCATCTGTGGTTGTTGGAAGTTCAAAGAGATCAACTCCAATGTGTTGAAACACATGATGTCGATTTACACGTCTGCTCGGTAGGTCTGTCATTTCCGGATAGGTGTACGGGAGACCATTGAATCTACGACATTTCACGCAAGCTTTTACTATTTGACGTACTTGTTGCCTCAACTTGGGAATCCAGTATTTTGATCTAACTGTTGCTATCGTATGTTCGATTCCTAAGTGGTAAAGTCCATGTGTGTCTTTTATGATCAGTGTTGCGAGTGGAGTTTTCGGGTGAATGAATATAGGATATTTTGCCTCTTCGTTAAGTGAGGAGTTTCCTATTCTCCCTTTAGAAGCACCATAATCCTTTACTATCTTCGAAAAGTCGTAGCGTATTTTCTACAGATTTGCGAAAATTTAGTTGTATTATGTACTGCTTGGTGGTTTCGAATTAGTGCGTATCTTGCTGCGGTAATATCGCTCCCTCCGATAGTACATAGTGAGTCGGAGAAGTTTTGTAACTCTCTGATGCTTTTAAAGATCGCTTTTTGTCTGTCGTGCGGGAAGTTGTTTGATTAGTTTCTTCAGAAACAGTAGAGTAAGTGCCATTATTCTTCTAGCCTTTTCGAATGAACTGAATCTTTTCAAGTCTAATATAGATGTTGTCATGGCTACTTGA